GTTTTAAACATATTTTGTGAGTGCTTTTGAGCTTGTGAATTTAGGTATATAAAATCATATTCTTACATTGTTTTTCTATCTAAATTCTACGCTATTTTAGTGTTTCGACTTCATTCTTGATAACCGAATTTTAATGGATTCTTGTTGTACCTGAAACACTTAAACAAACGTCAAGCTCTTATATTGTTTGTTAACATCAAAACATGAGGCTTAGCAAACCAAGGCTAACAACAACTGCAGTCAAAATATTTTGGATGGTTCTACAGCAATTAGATGTAAAAAACAAAATTGTAGAGAAGCATAATCGCATCACAATTGCAGCAATAAAAAAACAAAGAAGCATAATTGCAGCAAAAAAACAAAATCGAAACAACAGAGAAGCATAACCACATCAAAAAAACAAATTCGAAGAGGAAAAAAACAGAATCGCAGATGTAAAAAAATTATGAAAAATTTACATACCTGGTGTCGTGAGGAAAATGGAAGAACACAGAGAAAAACGCAAAGAGAATTGCAGAGAAAATCATAGAGAGAACAACGTCCCTAAGTGAAAATCGCAGATGGCGAACCGAAAACAAAAAGGGTAAGAAACGGAAAAGTTGGCCAACTGCTGTACGAAATGCTCCTGCGGTTGGCTTTTCATTTTTTGGCTGTTTGATTTCAAATGCCAAATCCAAATGCCATTACCCAACCAAATAATTTAGCAGTTTGACTAATTAAATCAGCCATTTATGGTCAAAGATGCCAAATGCCATCTGAACCCTGTAGTTGCTCTAATGGACGAAGACACGAGAGGGAAGTGGTAACATGAAATGGAGGGAACAGAAATGTAGAATGGATTGGTGACTTGGTGTGCTTCCTTAAATCGGCATCAGGTCCAAAAGCAAAGTCGGGGTGCCCCGCAGAACCGCAAACACGCAATTTGATTGGCCAACTATGCGGTGGTGAGCAACAGCGTGGCCACCGGGGCTTTTCCTCTTCCACACTCAACTCTCCCACTCCGTCGTAACTCTTCCAGCTCCGAGTGGGTCTCGTTCATCCTCTGCGACGCGGCAATGGCGGATCCACCTAGAAAACTCGCAAAAGAGGAGCTGCTAACGTACGCTTACATTCTCCTCTACATTGCTCTATCCAGCGCGCAGATCTTCTTCAACAAGGCATTCTTCGCCCCCCATTTGACTTTTTTTTTCTGTTCCCTCGTAGTATTATGCTTAGATTTTTTCGAACAGATGGTATGCGTTTCTCTTGACAATATTGGATCAATTCCTTGTTTATTTGCATTAATCTAACCCTTTTAAATTTGTTTTGTAATGTGTCCGTGCGCATAGTGGATAAATATATGTATTTCTCGGATAGGTTTGACCATGTTGTTAACGATTACGCCATTGGCAGGTGGCATTTCTGTATGCAAGGATGTTGATTTGGATTTTTATGGACTTAATGCATCTTGTTTGCCACGCTTTCTAACATCGTGTAATTTGGACTAAACAAACTGGAGAAAAAGATTATGCAAATTAAAAAAAAAGAACTGGAGAAGAGGAACTTCGAATAAATCTTGTTTGTTTGCTCTACCAGCACTTACTTTAGAAAGGATTTTTATTTTATTTTTTATTACCACCTGATCCTTAGATTCATGTTTTCTTTATCTTCCTCTGTATGATAGAGTCCCTACAGACATGAAACTGATGAATGAATAGAGAATTTAGATCCACTGTATAAACCTTACAGGCTTACAGTTCTCTAACGTCCTGAATAAGACGTAACAATTAGTAAGATCCTCATTTTTAAATGCTAACCTTGTCCTTCCATCATTATTCTTCTGCAACATCACCCTTGTGCACACCATTATAGTTTGAATCAATTAGTTCCTTTGATTGAATGCAAGCTTTTACAGTTCGCCTGATTTGTAACTGTGTAGAGCACATCAGCACACCATAGCCATAACTTTGAGAAAGAGAAATTCCAACAATGAATTTTCTGTATTAAAATAAAAGTTCACCTGACTTGGAAATGCTGAATAGTTTGATTTTATGAAGACTTTAATGAAAAATTCTTTACAAGACTACTTGACGTCTCTATCTACTTTTAGCCATAATCTGAGCAAGTGTTTTTCTCATTGTAGTGGGTTTTATCATCCAAAGAAGTAAACTTCCCTTATCCTCTTGCCCTGACTTTGCTCCATATGGTCTTTTCATCAGTGGCATGCTTTCTGCTCACAAAGGTTTTCAAGGTAGACCCTAACTTTATGCTCTTCAGCCATTTCATCTGTTCATTTGTACACCTGTAATGTTAGTTTGCATTTTTTATCCAGATTTTTAAAGTTGAGGAAGGAATGACAATGGACATGTGCGTACCTTCAACCTGATAAATGATGGCGAATGTTATCATCTAGTATTTCTTTAAATGTTAGACAAACAGCGGGATTTTCTCTCTACAGCATTCTTAAAATCACAGTTCTCTATCAGTCTATCAAATACGTGTGTTAGCCATGGTTCATAAATTATTCCAAAGGTTGAATTCCATGCACACATGGTTCATTTTCTCTGTCTTTTTCAGAGAGATTATCCTCAAGCTGTCTTTAATTAAAAGTAGGATGCCTTGTTCGGACCACAAAGTTCTTGTTAATAATAAAGGCTATTTTATTGTCCTAAGGATAATTTTCATTTTTAAAAATACTTAACGGATTATGTTAAATTTATAACTCCAATTTCATAGGGATAATTGATCTTTCCGTGGGCAGATATATTTGGTCAGTTATTCCAATTGGTGCAATGTTTGCTATGACACTTTGGCTTGGGAACACGGCTTACCTGTACATTTCTGTATCATTTGCTCAGATGCTGAAGGCTATCAGTGAGTGTTTTTGCTTTTGAATTGTTATCATGGTCTTTCAAGCAGAACTATTGAGTTTTTAGCTTCATAATATGTTAACAAACCTCCTCTGAAATGCTACAAGGCATTCTTATCATAAAATGAGATTGCACAGGTAAATTTTAAGGATAAAGGGCAGGGGCATGTGGATACAAGCATATGTGTCAGTCATGGTCTCTTTTTCTTCTATTGACAATTTCATTTTTGGTATCCCATCTGCAGTGCCAGTAGCTGTTTTCGTTCTTGGGGTAGCAGCTGGACTTGAAGTGATGAGCTGCAGAATGCTTCTCATAATGTCTGTCATCAGTTTTGGTGTACTAGTTGCATCTTATGGGGAAATTAATATCAGCTGGATTGGAGTCGTCTACCAAATGGGTGGTGTTGTTGGAGAAGCCTTGAGGCTTATATTCATGGAGATTCTTGTAAAGCGGAAGGGCCTAAAGCTAAACCCCATATCTGTTATGTACTATGTTAGCCCATGCAGGTACAACAGTAGACTTTTAAGTATCTGAAAGTTTATTCTCAGTTCATTTTGCTGGACGTGCTTTCATCGGTGTGAGCAAAATCTTCCTTTTGGTGTAGTGCTATTTGCCTTTTGGTTCCATGGATATTCTTGGAGAAACCAAAGATGGAGGCACAAGAGACATGGAGTTTTCAGCCTTTTATTCTAACCCTCAATTCTCTCTGTACCTTTGCTCTCAATCTCTCGGTTTTCCTTGTCATCTCACATACAAGTGCCCTTACCATTCGCGTAGCTGGAGTTGTCAAAGATTGGGTGGTTGTGCTACTATCAGCTCTTCTTTTTGCAGATACAAAACTCACACTCATCAATATCTTTGGTTATGCTATTGGTAATTATTACTAGTATTTGTTTTCGATTAATTTTCTGTTTGAATAATCTACTTTGGTTATGCTATAAAATGGTTCAAACAATGAACACATGCATGCATATATAGTTGTAATTCTCTTGAGTTGGTGTTGCAGCAATTGCAGGTGTCGCTGCATACAATAACCATAAGTTGAGAAGGGAAGCTTTGCGAAGCAGCACCGAGCCCCAACCCTCTCAATCTATACCATTGGTCTCATATTCAGATCCTGAAAAATAGGTGTGCAAGGAGGGAGCAGCTCATGTTCTGCAATTTGCTGCTCTGCAATTGCATGCAAACACAGAATCTAATCCAGAAAGTTCGGAGTTTATGTAGTTGGCGCTGCGTTTGAGTTGTGCGGTGTACATGAGTTCAGAGAACAAGTGAGTAAAAGATTGTCAGCTAGTATAACACGAATCGTAGCATATAGTTTTGTGAGTGAGCCATTTTTGAATATTTTGTAGCAAACAGTAAGGCCGTCACTTGGCATTGGTGTTTGTAAAAGTTTCGAACTAAGTACACACTTTTCTAGACATAAGATTTATGTATGTAGGAGAGGACATGGTTTTGTGGTTTCCAACAGGTACTAGTATTTGAATTGAAACGACGGTCTGGAACTGTATCTAACCTGAATTGATAAGTCGGATGACCGGAACGGAAAGTGGGAGGTGCTCTTTGGTTTTTTATACGGGGAATTAATTACGGAGTATATTAAAAAATAACGAATTTTCCAACGGAGTGCTTCTATGGTGTATTTTGGGTGCATAACATTTTTTTGTAGACTTTCTTACATAATTTTTTTCTCATTTTTTAATTAAAAAAAATAAATGCTTATTTAATTAATAAGAAAATGCGTATTTTGCTCATATGTAGATCTATGATAGATCTTTGAGTTCACCATAGAATTTGCCTTTCCACTGTAGTGTCACATGTTTTAATTTCACAATGTAACACTACTGTTCAATGTTCACTGGATATTTTTTAAATAAATTTTCATCGCCACTGGATATTGTTCAAAGTAAATATCCAGTGTTATTAGATATTGGTCCCTCTACTAAATATTGTCCAAGTACTATTTAGGTAATAAAATGTTTTAGATACTACATTAAGAAAAGACATTTTAATACGGAGTACTATTTAGTACTCCTTCCGTCCCAGAGTATTCGTCAAGTTTTGACTTTTGGAACTGTTCATCTAAGCACTTTGACTCATCAAATTCTCTCAATGTGTAAACCTAAATATAGTCATGTGTGATCTTGTTTGATTTGTCTTAACATATAGATTATTAATATATAATTTCTATAATTTTTTAATATAAAAATTACAAGATAAAATGGATTAAAGAATTGTATTGGATGGTGTGTAAAAATGAAAGTGAACAAATACTATGGGACGGAGGTAGTATAAATGTTACTTTTCTTTTATATTTTTGGAGCTTGTAGTTCTAGTTGTTCCCATTTTTTTAAGATTTGCATGAGTATTCTAAAAAATGTGTGGCATCCAAAATTTAGCAAATGACACTATTATTCTTAAAAATTTTACATTTTTATATTGTTATTTTGTTGTTACCAATTCAATAAAATACATAATATTCTGAATATTGACTAGACAATTTATAGGTTATACTGAATCAACACCCATTGACCAACAAATTATCTTCTCATCTACATTCACTAGTAAATAAGATATATGTTTAACAATTCACAAGATGTAATGGCCATTTGTAGAAGATTTGGTTAACCAGATTTATTCATTACTATAACATGTAATTTCAAATGACCAGAGATCGTAAGATATATATGGCAATAAACTAATGTAGAGCTGAAGACACGCCTGACATTGGATCTAGAATCTTTAAAATGAAATTGGATCATTTGAAGAATGACATAAAATATGACTTATATTTGGTGGAGTAATTAGGGGTAATTTTAAAGTTTGCTATATTAGTTTCAGTTAAAGAATAAAGTTATAGTTTGGACATTCAAATTTAAAGTATCGTCATTTGTATGAAATAATTCTATGCATGTTTGTACACTATTGACTTTCAAAAGAGAAGTTTACCTTATGCACATATCTTAATATGGTTACATTATAGGGATAAATTATAATCTACTTAATAGATATCAAAATAATTTCTTGGTAAAGGAGTTGAGCTATGACAAAGAAAAGTTGTCATTTGATCTTAGAGAATATTTATCTACGATGTATGAAGACCAGAGGAAAATATCTAATGAAATAATGGAAGAACTAAAAGATGAAAAGGAAGTTTCTTTTTTGTGTATAGTTATGGTGGAACCAGAAAAATATTTCTCTAGAAATCACTTTTTGCTTCCCTTAGGTCAAATGATGGTAAGGTTGTCTTGAATGTCACATCTAGTTGCATTGCAGCATTGCTTTTGGCTCGGGGAAGGAAAACACATTCAAGATTCTTAATCCATTTGGCGTTAATCGAGTGCTCATGGTGTGATATCAAATAAGGGAGCTTGGAAGCAGAACTAATCCAACAAACAAGTATCATCATATGGGATGAATAATCTACGATGAATAGATTTGCTTTTGAGGTATCAGATTGCAAACTGAGAGATGTAATGTTGTTCTCTAATAATAACTCAGAGGGAAAATAGTTGCACTCAGAGAGGATTTTATCTAAATTCTTTGGAGAGAAAATAGTTGCACTCAGAGGGTATTTTATCTAAATTCTTTCAGTTTTACTCAAAACTTTCAGAGAGGAAATTGTAGGTGCTACCGCCAGTTCCTAAAAAATATGGTCGTATTGTAAAGTTTATACATTGACCAAGAATATGAGACTGCATTCTTCTATGCCCTCTTACACATATAGAGACACACAAGCTTTTTCTAATTGGATAATCAAAATCGGTGATGGAATTTCTGGGCAAGTGATTGATGGACCTGCTAACGTTGAAATCCCGCCTGAATTCTTGATTCTTGACACAAGTTATCCCTCAAGGGTATAGTAGACTTCACTTATTTGAGAGAACATGAAAAATTATTCTTTTTTGAAGATAGTGCACTATTGGCACCCATGCTCGAGGTTGTTGAATGGTAAATGAATTTTTCCTATCCCTTATTCTAGGAGGTGAAAAAGAGTAATTAATTAAGTTCTTATTCTTCATACCTGACAAATTTAGATGTAGGTGTTGAAGACAATTGGATATTTGTTAATTTTTAAATGAAATAAAATTCTCTGGTATCCCAAACCACAAAATAGCTTTAAAAAAGGGTACCGATTATGTTATTGAAAAACATTGATCAAACATTTAGATTGTGTAATGGTAAAAGATTAATCGTTGAAGAGCTAGAAAGAACATTATCAGTGCAATTACGGTTTTAGAAAATTCATTCGAGAAAAAGGCTTAGATGTCCCGAATGTAATTTGGTACCATCTGATTTAGGATAATTCTCAATAGTTCAATAGTCTTATGTTTTGCTATGACGATTACCAAAAGTCAAGATCAAACATTGTCTATCATTATTTTATTTTTAATCAATTCGGTGGTAATTCATGGTTAGCTTTATGTTACTGTTTTACGAGTGAAGGAAAAGACATGATTAAAATTATTGGTTCTAGATGACAATGCAAACCCTTACTATACAACCATACCATAACGTTTTGTACTCTGAAGTCTTGTAAAAAATTTGGAATTAAAAAAGACTTTTTCAAGTACACTTTCAATTCTTCAAATATTATTTATTCTACTTTGACATTATTGTCCATTGATTAAAAATCGTGTTAGAAATATATTTACTAGATTCAAGAAAATATATTGCATTGAAAAGAATTCCAAATCCACAAAAATTTAGTTCGGCTTCGTGCATCCCACGAGTCAAAATACTAGTTCTAAAAATGTGTGACATGTAAAATTCAGCAAATGACACTTGTTCTTAAAAATTTTACAGTTTTATATTGTTATTTTGTTGTTACCAATTCAATTATATACATAATATTTTGAATATCGACTAGACAATTACTTTTTTTAGTTTTTCTGTTCCACTACTTTTGTTCTATTAATTTTTATATGGTCAAATTAAATCTATTTTCTATATATATTTTTATGTATCATTTGTTTAAAATATATTCAAGTCACACCTTTTCTTGTACGGAGTTTTGATGTACTCCCTCCGTCCCGGAGTATTTGTCCACTTTTATTTTTAAACACCACCCAATACACTTCTTTAATCCATTTTATCTTGTAATTTGTATATTAAAAAATTATAGAAATTATATATTAATAATCTATATGTTAAAACAAATCAAAAAAGATCACACATGACTATATTTAGGCTTACACATTGAGAGAAATTAATGAGTCAAAGTGCTAAGATGAACCGTTCCAAAAGTCAAAACTGGACAAATATAGTGGGACGGTGGTAGTACTTTTTAAATATGAATGAAGTACATTTTATTATTTAGTTTTACATCAATATTTATATAAATTTTATAAAAAACAGTCCAACATCGTTAGCCGAAAAGAGACAAAAATATCAGGACAAAGGGAGTAATAAGAATGAGTTGGCAACTAATAAAAACACGGTATGCATTATAACTAAACACTCGATCGTTTAAATTTAAATATGCTAAAACTTAAAAAATTGTCCAGTGACCATTCAAAATGCCACATATTTACTCACTCTAGATATGTGCAAAACAACCAGATCAGTCCCTTGAGTAGACCAGTACTATATTTAGAATCAAATTGTTTAGTGTTATAAAATGAGAGAAAAACTACTCAAAGATTATGAGAATAGATAAAATATATTTCTGATTACTTCTCTCTATTAACTCTTCACTTTTCTTCTTATTCTTAATGGTGATTACAATGCAGGAATTAAGCCTCTATTTATAGTGGAGAGGCTTGGTAGGCTTGGTATGATTACAAATACAAGTGGGAAGTACTGTACATAATTAGTGTTCATCAATTAATGTCTTAATCTACTATTCTAGAAAAGTAGGCCTGATTAATTGAATAAATGAACAATCATTAATTTCATAACACTTCCCCTTGAATGTTCATTTTTCAATTAATGATGGGTACTTCATAAATGATCATAGTTTAGTAACCTATTCTAATTTTATGTACTGCCTCGTTAAAAACCTTGTCAGGAAAAACCCAGTGGGATAAAAACCTGATCAAAAGAAAAAGAGTACAGTTCATAAAATTCTCCCCCTCAACTTAGCATAATTGATAGAGACGACGCATGCCAATCTTGTGTACGAGTTCTTCAAATTTCTTCGGGGGCAATGCTTTTGTAAATAAATCAGCAAGGTTCTCACTGGACTTGATTTGCTTGATGTCAACCTTTCAATCTTTCTCGAGATCATGTGTTGAGAAGAACTTTGGTGATATATGCTTTGTTCGGTCTCCTTTGATGTAACCTCCTTTCACTTGAGCAATACATGCAGTATTATCTTCATATATAGGAGTCGGATGACTAGTAATTGTTTCTATACCGCACCCGCTCTGAATATGTTGGATCATTGATCGCAACCATACACATTCTCTACCTGTTTCGTAGAGAGCTATCAACTCTCCCTGATTTGATTATGTGTTAGTCAAAGTTTGCTTCATCGATCTCCATGATATTGCGGTATCTCCATAAGTAAACACATATCCTGTTTGAGATTTTGCTTTTTGCGGATCAGACAAATATCCTGCATCAGCATATCCAACAAGTGTGGCCTTGGCATCTTTGCGGTAGAATAAACCAAGGTCGATGGTACCATTGAGGTATCGCAAAATGTGTTTAATGCCATTCCAATGCCTTCTAGTCGGGGTCGAGCTATGTCTGGCTAACAAGTTCACTGAAAATGCAATATCTGGTCGAGTGTTGTTTGCTAGATACATCAAAGCTCCAATAGCACTCAAGTATGGTATTTCTGGACCGAGAATTTCTTCATCATCTTCACGAGGTCGGAACGGATCATCATGTACATTGAGAGAGCGGACAACCATCGGGGATGTGAGAGGATGTGTTTTATCCATATAAAACCGCTTCAGAACCTTCTTCGTCACTACAAGAAATATGACTTTTTGTGGCACCAAATTTTGCCACAAAACACTAAAAATTAGCCACAATAACTATTTGTAGCAATTCTTGAATTTGCTACAAAGTTACCACAGATACCCCGTTACAAAAAGTATTTGTGGCAAATTTAAATTTGCCACAAAAATCATAGTTTTTGTGGCAAATTATGATTTGCCACTAATATTACTTTGCCACAAAAGCTCATGTTTAGTGGCAAATTTTTATTGCCACGAATTATTATTTGCCACAAAAAATTATATTTAGTAGCAAACTTAAGAAGCCACAAATTATACTTTGCCACAAAAGTTCATGTCTAGTAGCAAACTTTAATTGCTACAACTACGACTTTATTATTATTATTATTATTATTATTATTATTATTATTATTGTTATTATTGTTATTATTATTATCATACATACTATAATTATTTGTATTGTATTTACATTTAATGGTACATGTGTATGAAAAACAATAATAACTAATATAAAATTCTTAATTAAAATAAAACATTTATTAAGTAAAAGTCATACGTTAAGATTAAATACAAAATATATGCCCACCATAATTCCAAACAATCAAAGGTTCACAATGTTAATATACTAGGGTTTTGAAATAAAAAACATATAGTGCTAAACATATTTTTATGACAAAATAAAGTATCCTAAAATCTTCCTCTAATATCCATTTAAGCTCCATCTCTTCTTTTCATGTTGTCACTTCTACCTTGATTGTAATTCTCAACCAATGAGGAAAATGAATGATATTCTCATATTGGGCATTGATCTGCAAATGAAAAAGAGAAAAGTAATAAAAGAAATCAATCAATAAATGAACATGTTAAAGTGGCTAATAATTAGATAAGAAAGTAAAGAAACATATAAAGACCCCATCATAGGCAGTGTTATCCATAATAGGCAGCAGTAATAAGAAACATATACTTTTGGATTGCAACATAGTTCACTGTTATCCATAATAGGCAGCAGTAATAGCAAGTTTTGTCCACAATAGGTAGCTGTAACACCTAGTTCAGAATCCAGTAATACGAATTGCCACTGGAAAAATCAGCCATATAAATTGTGTACCTTCATCAACCTAAGAAAATCTAAAATAGCAACCAGACAGTAACCTCTGTGCCCTCAACCATAAAAATTATGTAGCCCTTTAACCTATGAAGCTAAAAAATGCCATAGCCATCCAACAACCACCTCAAGGTTCAAGACCCATACCAATGCCAAAGTAAGAAATAGGAAAGCCCATACACATTGCCCTCTATTTTAGATAGTAATCATATTTCCAGCAACATATGGATATGCCCTCTATTTTAGATAGTAATCATATTTCCAGTAAATAAAGAGCTTATCATTATATAATATGGATATGCCCTCTATTTTAAAATGAATATCAATTGATGAAAAACATATATACCTCTGGAAGTGGTACTATATAGAAGACAATCTTTCCTCTAGAGCACGGATACAAGCTTCATAAGTTTCATTGATTTCAGACACTCTTTTATTCACTTCAGCATCAATCCTCTTTTGCTCAAGAACATTTGTAAAATCTTTCTTCAAATAAGATTTAAATGACAATTAGCTCATATAAAGGACAAGTACTATAATCAAGCCTAAATGATATATAATAGACCTAACAAATTTAGAGTAATGAATAAGCATAATTGAAGGAATGGTCTTTTTCATTTTTGCAATTCACTGTACACTTGAATATAGTCACCGTATGACAAAGGTGGGCCCCACTGACCAGATAGATTCTGCACGACCTACCTTCAAGCCACAAATACTGAGAGAAGTCAAAGTCTTAGTGTTCAAGTTATTCCTCCTAGAGTAACAAAAGAAGAAAAGAATATCCTCCTGCCCCAATTCCCCACCAGGCAGAATCCCCCTGACCATAGCCCAAGATTCAATTTTTCACATGATTGAAGAAAACCTGTATCAAATCTACAGAAAACTAATGCATTTCAAACTAATTGATGATACCAAACAAAAAAACCAGGTTTGACATGAACCATTAAAATAAATGCACAACAGATAATCAAGAACATCGAAATTGAAGCTTATGAATCTTCCTTACTTATCAAATTGGGCGATGGGCGTCGCTTAGGAATCAAAGAAACATGGCTGAGGGCAAACTTCTTTGGAAAGATTGAATAAACGGTGGCTATGTTCTTATGATGTCCCAAAACAAGAGGAGATACATCCGAGGTTGCTGACAATGAAGCGCAATTAGAATTTGCCATTTACGTGTCTCCCTCTATTCACCACGCTCTCTGTCTGTCTCACTTTACAAAATCACGGGGAAAAAAATAAGGTTTTGAGGGGTCAGAGAAAGTTCGGAGACGCTGAGGGGAGAGACTCTTGAGATCTCCGAAAGGCTGCTGATCTCAACGGCTTATTGAGCAAAAAAATTAGGGGCATGTCAAGTATACACACCAATAAACCAATTTCACACCCAAATTCTTCATGGAAATGCTTTCACTGATTAGAGGAACAAGTTACGTGTTTATCGTCACTCTCTATCCATGTTAGAGGGCCAGCATTAGTAATTGTCTACAAGACTCATAACCCGAATTCAAATATAAAAACCAATTTTTTATCTGGAGGCACGATTGAGTTGCTTCCACATAAGTGTTATACAGGAAATGTGCATAGAAAACAGAGTTCTGTGTTTGATTCTCTTAGCCGGGATGCAACATTAATGGAAAATGCTCAGAAGAGCTTTTTGGGTGGTAAATGCAACAGAAAAACAGGGTTTGGCCGGAAAATCAGAATCAAACCGTCCATTGCTGTTTGGTTCCAGATGGAATTGGAGAGAAATATCACTGGTAATGACACTCAGTGGAGTACGTTAGGTGAGTGGAGGACAAGGCCGAATGCTGAACTTGTTTGGTTCGAGGTAGTGGCTGGAATCAGGGAAGTAAACATAAAGGATGGGGACAAGACAAAACTACAAAAGGCTACATGAAACATATTATGTAAAATGAGGCTATATATATCACGCTTCCCCCCTCATTGTAGAAGCAGGTTCAATGTTTTAAATCCTTTGTAATACTCTTGGAGTGTTCAAGTTATTCCAAATATTTCCTAATTGATATATCTTAACAAGTAATATGCAGCTTTCATAGAAATCACAACAAGTAATATGCAGCGTTCATAGAAATCACAGCATTTAAACAATTTGAACAGATATTTGACTGAAAATATGCAGAAACTCACTCTGCATTTAAAAAAAATGAGTAAATACTGAAAAACCAAGCATACATTGAACAACAACAAACAGATTTGAGATTTGTCTATGTAAAAATTCAAAATGTTACTGCTACTTCCTTCAGAATAGAGTTTATGTTCAGCAAATATAATATACTCCTTAAGTTATGTTCAGCAAATTTAATATAGTCCTTAAGTTATGTTCAGCAAATATAATGCACTCCTTATGTTCAGAAAATATAACACACTCCTTATGTTCATCAAATATAATATACTACTTATGTTCAGAAAATATAATATACTCCTTAAGTTATGTTCAGCAAATATAATATACTCCTTAAGTTATGTTCAGCAAATATAATATACTCCTTAAGTTATGTTCAGAAAATATAATATAGCTCTCAATTCTGGAAACAAACACAAGTAGCTTATGCTAAATCTCATACAGAAGGATCAGTCCCAAACGGTGTATTTCTAGTCCCAAACGGTGTATAAATCCCAAAACCACATTCCCAACCCCAATAACAGAAGGATCAGTCCCAAACGGTGTATTTCTAGTCTGCCATTTATGAATTCCCTTCCAAACTTTAAGGGAAGAACAAGAGAAGAAGTAGAAGCAGCAGCATACATACAAGATGTACACAGACAGTAACTCTTATAGAACAAAACAGAATTTCTAAAACAATTGAAATTAAAACCAAAATTCAACTATGAAGAGTTAACATCTGCAATAATCCAAATTAATATTCTAAAACACTATGATCGAATTTATACGATTTTGAAAACCTAAAAAATTGAATATTTTTAAGAATAAAATACATACCTGCTCTAAACTTGCAAGAGGTGTGTCGTCGTTCAAGAAGAAAGAGAATCGAAGAAAAACTAGGCGATTGAAGAAGGAGGCGTTTGAGTAGGGAGGTTACGGATGAGAAGATGAGACCAAAATCGTGGAGGAATTGAGGGATTATACGGAGTAGTATGTATTTCGCAGGTAGGCGGGATTCTCGAAAATCGAAATACTCCCCAAAAATACTCCGTATATTTCAACTTACTCCGTATAGAATAAAATTAATCCTTTTAAAAATTTCCCTCCTCAATAGTTTAGATATAGTGGCAATTTTATAAAATTGCTACAATAAGTATACTATTTTGTGGCAAATTTTAAATTGCCACAAATATTCATAGACTATTTATATATTGTGGCAAATATTTATTTTGCTACTAAAAGTTAGCCACAAAAAGTAATATTTCTTGTAGTGCGTGTAATTTGACTGGTGGATGAGTATTCCGTCTTTCAACTGGTCAATTTGAAGACCAAGACAGAATTTTGTTCTCCCAATATCTTTCATCAGAAGTTCCAATGATGTTTAAATCATCAACATATACTGCAATAATGGCAAAGCCTGATTTAGATCTACGGATGAAAACACATGGACTAATTGGATCATTTTTGTATCCTTCTCTGAGCAGATATTCACTGAGACGATTATACCACATTCTGCCAGATTGTTTTAGTCCATATAGTGACTTTTCCATTTTTATGGAAAACATCTCTCGAGGTTTTGAACTATAAACCTCAGGCAATTTTAGCCCTCCAGGAACTTTCATATATATATATATATATATATATATATGTCAGTATCGAGAGATCCATATAAATATGCTGTCACTACATCCATTAAACGCATTTGAAGCTTTTCAAAGACAGACATGCCTATCAAAAATCTCAACGTAGTTGCATCAACTACTGGGGAATAAGTTTCTTCATAATCTATCCCCGGGATTTGAGAAAAACCTTGGGCAACGAGGCGGGCTTTATATCTCACAATTTCATTTTTCTCATTGCGCTTACGCACAAAAACCCATTTGAAACCAACTGGTTTCACGCTTTTTGGCGTAGGAACTATAGGCCCAAAAACACTTCGTTTTTCAAGTGATTTCAATTCTGCCTGAATTGCTTCGTTCCATTTTGGCCAATCATGTCTACGTCGACATTCATCAACTGAAGTTGGCTCAATATCATCATTTTCATCCATGATGTTTGTGGCAATGGCATATGCGAATATATCATCAACATGAACATCTTTTCTGTTCCATTGCAATCCCGTAGAAACGTAATTTATTGAAATCTCATAATTATCAACGTTTCTATCTTCATCTGAATTATTCGCATCTTCAGAGATTGTTAAATCCTCATTTGAAACAAATTGTTCGTTGATATTATTTTTTATATTAACATGCTCGGTTTGTTCATTTTCTTTCCTTGAAGAATGAACATCTTTTGTTTCAAATATTGTCTCTTGCCTTTTAAGTTTTCTTGGTTTTACATCTTTTGAACCAAGTGGTCTGCCACGCTTTTTGCGTATTGAAGACTCATTTGCAAGAGTTTTTTCATTTTTCTCTGAAGGAATTTATATTCTGGCAGGAGCATTCATAGCAGGAATATGTGACTTTGTCACTTTCTTTGAATCCGTGAATGCGTCAGGCAATTGATTTGCAACATTTTGTAAATGAATTATCTTTTGCACTTCTTGTTCGCATGCATTTGTTCTTGCATCAAGAAAAGATATTCCTGTTGCATTCCATGTAATCTCTTTCGTACATGGGTCCTTTTTCTCATTTTCTCCCCCTAAGGCTGGGAATACTGTTTCATCGAAATGACAGTCAGCAAACCGTGCTGTGAATAAATCACCAGTCATTGGCTCAAGATATTTTATAATTGAGGGAGAATCAAATCCAACATAAATTCCCAGCCTTCTTTGAAGACCCATTTTTGTACGATGTGGTGGAGCAATAGGTACATATACGGCACATCCAAATATTTTTATGTGAGAAATATTTGGTTCTTTTCCAGTTACCAATTGCAATGGGGAAAAAATATGATTTGCAGTAGGCCTTAGCCAAATTAAATTTGCAGCATGCAATACAGCATGTCCCCAAACAGATGCAGGTAAACTGGATTTCATCAATAATGGTCTAGCAATTAATTGTGATCGCTTTATTAAAGACTCAGCAAGACCATTTTGAGTGTGCACATGAGCAACTGGATGCTCCACATCAATCCCAATAGACATGCAATAGTCATTAAATGATTGAGATGTAAATTCTCCTGCATTATCAAGTCGGATTTTCTTTATTGAATAATCTGGAAATTGAGCTCTCAAACGTATAATTTGAGCAAGGAGTTTTGCAAATGCAAAATTTCTTGTAGATAAAAGACTAACATGTGACCAACGTGTTGATGCGTCGATCAACACCATAAAATAACGAAATGGTCCACATGCTGGGGCAATTGGCCCACAAATATCTCCTTGAATTCTTTTTAAAAATGCAGAAGATTCAACTCCAATTTTATTTAGAGATGACCTGACAATCATCTTTCCAAGAGAGCAGGCAACACATGGAAAATCAATTGATCTTGGAATCCTTGTATTTTTCAATGGATGTCCAAGTGAATTTTGAATTATTTTGTGCATCATTACACTGCCAAGATGACCCAAACGGTCATGCCACAAAATGAATGTTTTCTGGTCATCTAATTTTTTAGAGACAACATTCACTTCAACGGGACTAATGTGAGTATAATATAGCCCCGAGGAATATGCTGGCATCTTTTTACAAAGAATTTTATTGCCAGATTTGGTTGTTGTTAGACACAAGTATTCCTTTTGATTTTCTGTCATGGTTTCAATGTGATAACCATTTTGACGCATATCTTTAAAGCTCAATAAATTCCTTCGGGATTTGCTGGTTATATTACGCAGAAACTATTAATTAAAACAAGGAACCCCTTCCTAATTTGTTCGGTAAGGTCTGGGAAGTTACTCGAAACGTTGTGGTCTCTAACTATTGACATTAGTTTCCATCAATGTCATTTGAGAAAAATATTCTTTGTTTCTCAAAATGGTGTGCGTTGTGGCACTGTCAATTAGACATTGTTCTTTGCCACTAGAGCCATAAGCAATTATCTCCATATCTTAAAGTAGATCTACATCTATGACTCCCTAGCCGATTCTAGGGTTTTCTCTCCCTAGTCTTTCTAGGGTTGCCTATGTTTCGATCGAAGAATTTTGCCTGGAGAATAGCCTTGATTTCCCCTCCCTCTAGCAATTGCAGCCATGGAGAATGATGCGGTAGAGGATTTAAACAGGGAGGTCTCGCGAATTGGCCTTGGGGAGGAGGACATTGAGATCTCATTTGAAGAAATTGATGCAGGCCCAAGAGTGGATCTTCCGCCTACATGGATTATTGCCGGGCGTTTCCTCACTTCCCGTCCTATCAAGTTTGACGCAATGAAGCAGGTCATGGCCATGGCTTGGAAACCAGCTCTGGGGGTTTATGTGACACACGATGAAGAAGGTTTGTATCTGTTCCATTTTTATCACGTTAAGGATGCTATGCGGATTATTGATGAGGGGCCATGGTCATTTGATAATGCGACTCTAGTTTGTAAGCTCCTCTCTCCTAGTGAGATGGTCAAAGCTGATGATTTACATTTCGTTGAGATGTGGGTTCAGATTCATAATCTTCCCTTTGGGTATACCACACCGATTGTTTTGGAAACGGTGGGAAAGGCAGTTGGTTCGTTTATCAAACATGATTCGATCGCCACTACTCAATATCATCGTTTTTATCACAGGGTCAGGATCTCTGTTGATGTCCGAAATCCTCTGCGTCGACGCCTGAAGCTGACTAAACGGGATGGTACAGCAGTTTGGATCCACTTTAAGTACGAGAGACTCAACACATTTTGCTTTTTCTGTGGCATTATGGGCCACTTAGCCAAGCATTGCAGGGCTGCTGTACTATCCAATGTGGAGCCTGAAAATTATCCCTTTGATGGCTCCCTACGGGCGGAGTGGAGGAAAAAAGAGATAAATGTGGGGAGCCAATGGCTGCGAGATGAGCCTACTGGTAGGGCTGTTGAGCCTCCAAACATAAGAGTGCCAACTTACATGGATGCTCAAGTAGATGACCCTATCGAAACTGGTGCTTTAATAAAAAGGAAAAGGGGTGCTGATTATGATAGGATGCAGTCCCTCAACAAGAATCATAGTGTGGCAGATGGATTAAAAAACGTGATGGAGGCGGGTGCTGGATCCCAGGCCCGCCGCGGTCAATGAGTACTATCAGCTGGAACTGCCGCGGGTTGGGCAACCGGCGGACAGTTCAGGAGATAGCGGACTTGATTTCCGCAAAAAAGCCCAATTTCGTTTTCTTAATGGAGACAAAAGGTGCTGGCAATCTTGTTGAAAACCTTCGTGTCAAGATTGGTTTTGATGGTGCTTTTTCCGTGTGTAGTGTTGGACGCAGCGGTGGCTTGGCTTTGCTTTGGAAGGAAAATGGTACGGCTAGTCTCCTTAGCTATTCTCGGTCGCACATTGATATTTTGGTCTCCCTTCCTAACACTGAGACTTGGAGACTCACTGGTTTTTATGGGGACCCTCGTAGAGACCACTGTAGGGAATCTTGGAACTTACTTCTTTTGCTTAAGGATAAATCTCCTCTCCCTTGGTTTGTCATTGGTGATTTTAATGATATTTGCAAATCTTCAGAGAAACGAGGTGGTGCCCCTCACCCACCTGCCTTGATTGCTGTGTTCACTTCGACGTTGGAAGCTTGTGATCTTTTTGATTTGGGTATGATGGGCTGTTGGAACACGGGTTTACGCCTCCGTTGTACTAAACTGTGTTCGTCTTTATGACAGGTTTTGATAATGCCAAACCGCCGCGACATATCGAAGCTAAAGTGAGCAAAACTAAGGCGAAGGAACATGGCATGATGACTTGAGAACCAAGAACCCAGAATCAAGAATGAAGAACTAGAATTGTATTGAGTCGGTCTTGATGTGATCAAGACCGGCACAAAATTCCAAATCTTGGCTCTCTAGGCTCAATTCATAAAAATCTCTTTTACATTTTCAAAAATATTTTTCTTAAGTTTTAAACTTGGCTCAAAACACTTGGAGTTCGCCCAAGCCAAAAACCAAGCCATCCGGCGTTCGGCTTTCAGAAACCGGCGTTTGGCTTTCGGTTTTCGGCATTGGTTTTTTGCGTCCGAACCAATCAAGTGGTTTTCAACCTTTTATGACTGGTTTTTACTTCTGGGCACATTTAAATAGTTCTCCAACAAAAACGCTTCAAAAACCACCTTTCGTTTTTGGTCGTTTAGTGAAAACCATGCGAAACGGCGTAAACTTGGCTAGCCGTGGTTTTCAACTAAATGACGTGGTTTTCAAAACGTTTTACTTGATCTCTTAGCAAAATGCATTAAACAAACATTTTCAATACTTGGTTTTTACTTTGGAGAACTTACATTTTTGACATCGGCTAACGGCTGACTAAACCAACCATGGGTCTGGCTAAACCAGCCCAACAGCGATGTTGGTGAAACCAACAGCGCTGTCTGGCTTGGGTGGCTGAAAACCATGGTTTGGCGTTAAGTCTTCCAACAGCGATGTTGGATGTTAGACATCGCTGTTGAGCCAAGGTTGGATTTCCAGAAACTTCTGGAACAGCGATGTAGGCTCCCCTACAGCGCTGTCCAACCTAAGCCAAAAATATAGTGCATTGGCAGAAAGTTTTTGGACAGCGATGTTGACCCAGCAACAGCGCTGTCAGGCCAAACTTCCATCTCCAAAGGCAGACCTAAACAGCGATGTTCTAGTATAGAACATCGATGTAGAGACCTGACCGTTGGAAGGAATTTAAGGCTAAAACTTTCCTTGTTTGGAAGTCAACAGCCAAAACAGCGATGTAGGGATTTTAGACATCGCTGTTGGCATGACCGTTGCTTCCCATTTTTCAAACCGCAAGCCTAGAACAGCGATGTCCAGGCCTAGGACAGCGCTGTCTGGGTGATTTTCAACAGATCCAAATTTCATCAAATCCCACAAATTATGCCAATCACCCCTTAAATACTTTGGTCCGTTGGAGCCTATTTTTCTACTATAAAATGAGGTGTTTGGGTCTGTTTTACA